CCAAAATTTTGAAATTGTCATCATTATCAGCACCATCTATTACCGAGAATTCTGTCTCAAGGTATCTGTTGAGCTCCCTATATTGTGTCGTCGTTGGTGTTGATGGTGGTGGCATGACACTCGGAGTCGCACTTGATGATGAACTAGAGCCACCACGATGAGAAGATATAAAATTCTAAAACTTCTTTTTTGAGCGGGTCGGCTGATCTTGTTGCGTTTATTGAGTTCTCAAGTTACCGAACTTGTTCTCGTAAATTGCATAAATCTCAAATAACTTCTCACGTGTGTTAACAACCTGTGAAGTATAATCTATATCCAACTGGCCACCGATATGAGAAAGAACATTTCCAAGACCGGATAATTTTACTCTAGGATCCAAAATAATTGCTAAACAATACAACAGAGGAATTTCATACCAATATTTCCTAAACTTTACTTCCATTTTTTCTACTATCGGTTTAAATAACATATCATTTCTATATGTTTCAAATAAGTCTGTAATCTCACAAATTTGATGCAACACTAATGGAGAAGTAGGATAATAAATACCATATAATAAAACAGTAGAATCATAAAAAACCTCCAAAAAATACACAAAGCGTTCGCAAATAAACCAATCATTTTTCTGCAACATTATTTTGCCCATTTTTGTATTGAAAAAAATAGTGATAATATTTTTATATGACAAAGTACTCTTCAACATCATATATGTTGAATTCCACCTAACAGGCATGTCAAGACCAAACTTTCTAGGCTTCATACCTTCTGCTTTATAATACCTCTTACACTCAGCAATACGGGGGTTTGAATTATGAATCTAAGAAATGGCATTTCGAATATTATCAATTGTAGAACTTACCATATGCATACCTGATTTGACAATGAGGTTAATTATATGGCATGCACACCTTTGATGAAGTAAAACTCCACCACTATACGAGTTTATAAGTCCCTCCAACATGGATATCGCCCTTGCATTAGTTGTAGCATTATCTAAGGTGATAGAGATAATGCGGTCTCGTATACCAAAATCTTGAATAACACTAACAAGTCTCTCAACAATATTGTCAGCATTATGTGAACAATCAATAAGTCTAAAACCAATAATTCTTTTTTGCATATTCCATTTAGAGTCTAAATAATGTGCAACTGCGCTCAAATAATCTTGATTCGCCCTACCACTCTAAATATCATAGGTTAATGCAATTGAAAAATTTAATGCACCTATTTCAGCTATTAATGCAAGACGCATTTTCTCATAGTATGTAATCATATCACTCCTAGTAGTAGTTCTAGAAACTTTTTGAAATTGAGGACAATATGCACGTTGAATATGCGCTTCATAATGTGGGTTATCACCAAGGTTAATAGGTAAATCTAAAGCAGAAATAAATCGACATAAAGATTCCCTAGCAACTTAAGGATTATAGGACCAAGTACTTACCGAACCATCCGGGTTTAATTGAAGTTGAGTTTGTGTAGGCTCCGTCCTGGCTTAATGTAGTCTAGCGCATTTAACTCTGTGATCTCTCAAGTGTCGAGTTCCACTCATAGAATTTGCTGTCAAAACTTTTTTACAATATATACATGTAGCTAATTTTATTTTCTTACCTCCAGCGTCAATTTTCTCTTGTGTAGTGAAGTATTTCCAACATTCTGCACGTTGTCTCGAATGTTTTGTTGTCGTTGATGATGTTGAACCGCTTGAGCCCGTCGGCATTTCCGAGGGTTGATTCGGTTGAATATTGATATTTTATGGCATGTCACCTACTTAGTCACCCGCCTCCATTCGTTGAATTGTTGCTTCCTCAATGTCTTGATCATCCACTCCATAGTAGCCAACACCATCAAGACCATACATATACATATTCGGTTCCATTTTCTATTGAAGTAGATACTAGAGTAGAGATTAGAGAATGACATATTTTTTTTTTTTGAACAAAAATGAAATAACAAAATTGAGAGAATTAATGAGTGAGAATTGAGAGTTGAGAAAAAATTATAGAATGAGAAGAGAATAGAGAAAGTGAAAATTGTATTGTGTGAAAAAAATGGATTAATAGAGGGAGTATTTATAGACAAGATTTAAAAATTTTAAAGGGAGAAAAAAAAATGAAAAAAATATATATATTTGGCAGGCTGCAGCCTGCAACCCTTTGCCAAGCTATAAAACTCACTGCCTCATGGCAATGAGTCATCCGACCCAACGATAATATTACCGTTGGGTAGGCTTGGCTTTGGGCCCTTGGCCCAAAAAAATAAAAAATAAAAAAAATTTGGCAGAGGGCTGCAACCTGCAGCCCTCTGCCAAGAAGGCCATTACCCATTAGACTCACTGCCTCACGGCAGTGAGTCAGCCCACCCAACG